TTTTTCCTCCAAATACGACATTCGCCCACGAAGTTTTCTGATTTCTAAAAGATGTGTTAGATTTCTAAAAGAAAATCTTGTTGCCGCAGAGAAAAAGTTGGATTAGGATGAAGAAAAGGGGTAGAAAGCAAATAAGCTTCTTCTTCTTTTTCTTCTTTAAATGGAAAGAGCAGTGGTAAGAACCGACAGATAAATGTGCGCAGAGACTGACAACGAACGACCTCTGAATGTAACGCGAGAAATCTCATAGGCGGACGACCCTTGTACGATCCACAGCTCGATTCAATTCCCAACTCAAGATTTCCGACCCAGAGATCTCGACTAGTCGCTCTGAAGAAGTCAATGTGTAATCTAAAACAGTCTACAATTGCGCATAAAACGATGAATACATATTTCAGATGTTAATAGGGCGATGAGAGTATTTGAACCTAGAAAACAGTAAGTAACAAACGACTCAAGAAAACCGCATTATGATCCAAGTCTACTCTTCAAAAAAATATTGTTCGTGTTATCAAATCAAGAAGAATCGAATCCGAAATTTTTCAGACACGACACACGTGGTGTGCGGACAGCCTAGTTCAGACATCAGGGGTTTATTTATTCGAGGGCTGAGAAAAAAAAGAAGAATAGAGACCATGATAACGGTTATTGGCATCGAAACCATCTGCCTTTTACTGCGTGATGGAAACAATGGACGATCAGATCTAGCAGGGGAGGCGTGACCGGTGTAGCCACCTGGATCCTTATAAATCCAGCAACTATGTCGCGCGTTGTCATTGTCAGAAGGCATCGGAACAATAGGGTCCAGGCAATACAACTATTTCGAAGTCTTGTGTGTGTCTATATATATATATATGTATATGTATAATTTGAGCTATACAGAATGGAAACATTTCAGATACATCTCATACTGGAAGGTCCCCGAGGCCATTAAATGTTTGTTGTAATCAATCGTATGAAATTAGGGGGTTTTTTCAGATTATATCTCGGAAATGATGAAATGGGCTCAAACCAACTATGATTGTTAGAATTCAGTTGTCACTGTAGGGGTCAAGGGACTTTATTTTTGTTGTACTGTTGTAAAACAGGCATTTGTTGAAGTCAAACGACAATAGAGGAATTAATATAATCTGTTTCCTTAATGACACAAAACTTATTACAATGTGGAGGACAGGGTTACTGCTTCAATAGTGAAGTGACTTGCATTCTATAGGTGCCAAGTTCGAATCTGCACTGGATCTGTCTGCACTCATTAAGGGTCCTCATCAAATATGCATTGCGATTCATAATTCGTATCTACTTTTAACTTCTAATTCAACCCTACTTAACTCTGAAGCTTTCAAATTTTTGCAATATTATTATAAAATCCGTTTGTTGCAGTGTTATTGTGAAATGGTTCCTCTATAGGCCAAATTATTGTAAGACAAATTGTAACCAATGAAATGTGCCTATACATGTAGAATATAATTAAATTTTTGTAATATTATCGGAGAAATTAAAGATATCCAGAGGAGTCGGTCGAAACAAATATAGGACATAAGGACATAAACTGAGAATTGTTTAAAAATTCAATATAAAACTCACTTGGCAACAACGTGTTCTATATAGATGTCGGCCCGTATGTAGAATTCACTTGTCAAGCTATTAGACGTTAAGCTAAGCAACACGTCTTTGAATAAAACAAATCGAAGTTAATCCCACTCATTGTCTATTCAATTTTAAAAAAACTTTGTGACACAACGCTGCTGATTAAGGCTACAGAGAAAAATAACTACTGATGGAAGATCCATTGGCCACTGCAAAGTCATAGAATCTATGCGCCGTGCTTAACTAAATGGAAACAAGAAAGGCAGGTACTTAATGGGAAGTCATTAAGTGGGACCCTTGACTGCAGTGACTTGGAGCCAGTTACTCCATTTGTCTATAAATCTTAACGACGTGCAGGCTAGCAGTGTGACACTGTGTAAGTCCACCCGGTCGACAACTAACAGTTGGTATTTCAAAGCGAGTAGATTTATGTTGCCTGCCACTGCCGTAGAGCTATAGATTCATGTACAGTGTAGAAGCAACACTG